GGTGTGCAATCACATGGCGTGCTGCGCTTCTTTTTCTTACCTGTTGCCAGCCCAGAATCCGGTGCATCCTCTGTCCACTTCTGCTGCCCACGTGGCGACGGCTGGAAACGCTCGGGACTGTGGGCTGCAGCAGAAGATTGCTCTGCAAAGGTCTGCAGCCTGCAAGTTGTCCGACAGCCCCAAAAGCCCCTTGACCTGATCCCTCCTGATGCGCCAGAAGCTGCAGGAAGCCATCACGTGGATCCTTGCTGCTCTGGTGCGGGTTTCATCTTAAACAGGTTCCTCTACAGGCACTTTACAGCCAAAGTATACCCCCTTAAGGCTCAAAATAGCCCAAAAACACTGCATAGCATGGTATTGGGCCCAGAAGCCTTAAAATATCAGCCTTTGCAGCCTTAGGGATATATTTTGTAGGCACATGGACCCTCACCCTTCATGAGGCGTGAGCTTGTAGCTCGGCAGTCAGGAGGTGTTATTGTGATCTTGCCGGGCTCCGACAGCCTTTAGGGTTTGGGTTTAGGGTTTAGGGATGCAATGTCGACGTTCAATCCAACCTAACGCCCCGGACCCTTAAAGTCATTCTCTAAATGTTAGAGCAGATCTTAAAATGCGCAGGCGTCACTGAGTTTAATTCCACCTTGTCTTTATTTGTGCAACAAGCTGAGAATTGCAAGGGTCGACCTGGCATTGGCATGCTTAGTTCAAAGGGCCGTTGGTTCGGGGTTCGGGCGTTGGCTTTAGGTTATAGGGCTTATGGGTGGTAATGGCACAAGTTCTACTAGGACACTTTCAGCTGGGTAGTTACCGTTATGGGAGCCTTATAGACCATATACCTTATAGAAGCCCTATATACCCTAAACTCCCCACCTGTAGTTTCCTCGAACATGTCGCAGACACTTCAATTAGGACCAGTTCAGGGTATCGGAGATTGTGGGCTGAAGTTTCCGGAACCCAACGGTTCAGGGTTTAGGGTTTAGAGTTTAGGGTTTAGGGCCAATTCTGTTGTTTACCTGCAAGAAGACTTTCTGCTACTTCTACAAGTGATGTAGTGTAGGTTTCCCTTGGGGTTCCTTATTATAAATATAGAAGACTTAATTAAAGACTTCTAGCTATTGCATACTTGGAATTTCGGTCCATAGTCCCTAACACAGAGGGTCAACATATACCTATGCAATGCTGAGCACAGAAGATGCATAAACAGACAACCAAAAGTGTCGGTATTTCTCCCATTTCGGGTCCCGCTGTAGGTCCCCAACATAGTACGGTACCCTTCTAGAAAGGATGAGGGCCAAGTCTACGGCAGCCACTTTGCGTACAGATGACGAAACCTATGTACACCTACATAATTATAAAGTTTACTGCGTTATGCATTCATACAGTTAGACATACATCCGTGCATGTATGAATGCATACATGCATGCATACATGTATGCATTAAACTCACATCTCATCAAGCGCATTACATTTTGTGACATTACATTATTACATTAAGTACATTGCATGACATTGCAATCTATTACCACCTTACCTTGCGTCGCCTTGCATTGTGTTAACACATGCATGCATGCCTACGTGTATACATACCTACATATACATGCATACATGCATGCATGCTTGCATGCATATCATACGTACATTCTTTATGAATGCATGCATGCCCGGACCTCGTCACCATCTACATGCGAACATATGCTAACTATTGCTACAGAAGTGAACTTATGGTTGATGTGCATGCGAACTGATATATGTGTAGCTTGCTGCTAAAGTTGAAAGCATAAGCTCGCTTCGAGGCCCCACGTGTATGGTTTAGGCGCGCGGACCTCCCAGAAGTCCATGATGTAGTTATGGTAGAGTAAGGCTCTTGAAGCAACTTGTGGAGTTGATTCGCCGTTATGTCTTACCAATCCCGCGGCATGTTTGGGGGCTTGTGGGGATGCATCCGTAGCCGAGTTTTTAGTAACTACTGTACAGTGCCGCCCGCATGTGTAGCCCTCAGGTCGGTTGGATGTTTAGCAGAGTTGCAACGCTGCTGAATTGAACTCTGCTGACTATTTCCGTCGCCTACCGCAAAGCAAACCATGGTGACAGCACATCTTGTATGGCTTAGGCCCTTAGGCGAGGACAAAATTGGCGGCAGGCATGCACCTTACAAAAATCGGTGTACCCTTCATGTGGAATTTCCAGAATCACTTTTCACGTCGTCCGCTCGTATCCGAGGTTTTTATGGGCAATGCTCAGTACTCGTTGTGGTTGAGGTTCTTGAAGCACCGCAAGGTGTAGCCTCAGCCGTCCCATGCTCATGGATGGAGTCTGTCATTGGTTGGAGAATCGGGACGTATTGCTCTATTGTAAACCCCGAAACCCTAAACCAAAGCGCAACTGTATGTTGGGGACACTTACGATGCCCTGCGTCAAAGAACTGCCATCCTTCGTAAGTGCTTTGTGCCGGCCTTCGGTCAGGTCTCAAATGTGACATTTTATCCAAGCGACACGGCGAAGCGCGCAGCCCGCAGTCGTAACTTAGGATATCGGTGTAGATCTATACTGTGTACATTAGCCAGCCACCATCTACACAGGGTCGCTTCGAATGCGGAAGAAGTTTCGTTCGACAGCAGTCGCGATCCGCATAAGGCAAGGTTCAGTTCAAGGCAGTTCAAAGTGGTCGTTACATGCACAATATAGGTAGTTTATGTGCCATCGATTCTCCCATTTTACGCAGCAGGAAACCTTCTTGGCTCCAGAGCAGCGTGACGACGAGGACAACATTGCGGAGTTTGGCTGGGGTTGGGGTTCAAAAGATTGTGTAGGATTTGTTGACGGAGGGTTCGTTCGCAGGGTCGTTTGAAGAAGAGAATATGCCACTGAGTTTGAGACAAGATGACTTGACGATGAAGTGTAAAATCTTGCATCCACGCACAAATGTGCTCAGCAGCGTAGGGTGTTGTCTCCAACGGAGTGCAATGTGAACGATTTTGTGCAGTAAAGTTTTTGCTTTGTTTGCAGCAGGGAGCTGCGGATGTAAGCAGAGTACAGGAACCCCACATTTTTTGAGGGTGGCATTGTTGTTTTCAATCAGGTTTGGCGGCACTGGCATCAAACATGTTGGCCGCATCGCACGCAACATGCCAATAAATGGCTCCAACTTCAAACCCCGAAGGCATCGACACCCAAACAAACATTGTTTGAATGTCTGGTGCTGTGATGTGCCAATGAGTCCGAACTGTGTTTCGACCACCGTAACTTGCCCGTGCAGTTACGACAACCGCAGCAGACGCTGCAAACCAGGATGTCCTTAACACCACCAGGTATTTGTTCGCAATTCTCTTGCGAATGTTCGAGATCACCACCACGTCTGAGCGTCAAACAATTGCTGGGCAACGCTTGGCAGGATCATTCTGGCAGGCTGACACAAGTCAAGAAGCCACTTGGCGTTGCTGTTGCGTTCAGGGTTTCGTGTTCGGAAGTTTGGAGAAAGTTCAGTCGGTTCAACAATCGCAAGCTGTGGTTTTGTGTTGGGTTCTGATGCACGGTTCATGTTGGGTAAAATTGGAATTGGTGGATTACCTCGATACCCCAGCCTTAAGCCATACGGACAACTTGAATACGACATGAACCTTGCCCAACAGCTCAATGCAGTAGGGTCTGGCATCGCATAGTAGGGTTTAGGAAGTTTAGGGTTTCGGGTTAAGGATATACGAAGGTTTTCAGGCTTTTGGGTGTCTTCAAGACTTCAAGCGTTTTGGGTTTGGGCTGCAGATTTATTCGTGTTTCAGGGTTCAGGTTCAGGGTTCCATTCAGGCTTGAGGGTTCCGGATGTAGGCGCTGGGCTTCAGGTTGCAGGTACCTGGGTTCAAGGCTCAAAAGGCTAAACCCTAAACTCCAAAGCCTGAACTCAGTCTAACTCTTGCTCGACGAAAGAAGCACCGGTGAGTTTCGTGTTTTTCGCAATTGAGCTGAATGCAGGTCAACTCAGGAATCTGCATTCAAGTGATTCCTTCGCAAATTTTGTCTGACTTGGCTGGAACATCGCGAATTTCAGGTTCGTCGCTGCAGACATTAGGGACTCTGCTCCGGTACAACACGAACGACATTACACAAAAGGCACGGATGGCATTCTTGAAAGTGGACGAGCACAGTGTACGCCAGTGCAGGTCTTTGCCCAGGGGAGTTTCTCTCTAAACTCCGAATGACTGTACGTGCCCCCCCCCCCTCCAGTCCCCTCCAAGGTTCATCCGCGAGCGGCCGGGGACCCTACAGCCGGGGTGCTTTCTTTGGCGGTTCAGGGGTTTTGGGGTTCGGTTTAATTTTTAGGGTTTAGGGTTTGGGGTTTATGGTTTAGGGTTTAGGGTTTAGGGTTTAGGGTTTGGGGTTGGGTTCATGAGGGATTCAAGTCTCCGGTTTGGGGATGGCCTATATAGGCCCCATAGTTGTAGAAGCCACATAAAGGAACTACTCAGGGGGTCTATGGGTAGGCTAATGTGGATTTAGAGTTTGGGGTTTAGGCTCGGGGTTCGGGGTTTGCGGGGGGTTTAGGGTTTGGGGTTAAGGCTCGGGTTAAAGGGTTTAGCGTTTCGTGTGATATCCGTAAGGCTTGAATTTTGTTTTGAATGTGAGTAAGTAGAGCTTGCAGTTACGATGTTTGCGGGTGAAGGCTTCGTCAAGGAGCGGGATTGCGTTTTGCATTTCCAAGTATCTAGTTAGAAACTGAAACTGCGTGTTGCAAAACCCTCACATTGGTAGCTCAGCATGGACCCCGAACACACCAGCTTTTCGCAGTATCGATGCCGAGGATGAAAGCCACGATGCAGAAGGTGCAGGTGATCGATCTGGTTCCGGGTTTGGGATGTAGGGTTTGCAGGCTACGATTTCCCTGTCTGCATAGAACTGGGTGTTCCTTAAGCAGACTTTTTGTTGTAGTATAAATGTGCTGGTTGAAAGAATGTGTTTGTATTTTGAGTGTAAGTGCAACTCGACTGTTAAGCATGGTGAGTGGAAGGTCTACATGGCTTATTAAAGGCGTGTCGAGGCCACGAGTGTTTTGTTCGGCTGCGATTTTCCTGAAAAAGCCACATGATCGTTCTCCGAGGTCCAGAAACTAGGAAAGCCAATCTAGACCTCAGATGAGTAAGAACCTGATTTCCCTTTGTATAGCCACTTTGACAGACTTTCAATAGACGCTACAAGCCCACTTAGCCACACACACACACACAGACACGCCGCTCCAAAACCACATGATCAAGAACACGGAGGGCGAATGTTCTACGTAGTGTCAGGTAAACCTCAAATCTACACCCTAAACTGTTAGCCCTCAAGCACGAAGCCGGTTCGTTTGTTCTCTTTTCTTGTTGCTATTCGTATTACATGTATTACTATCTACGTATTTGGCGATCTATCTGTCTGTCTATCCATCTATCTGTCTATCTACTTATCTATCTAGCTATATGGACACACGTGTATATATATATATATATGTAGGTGTCTATATATATATATATGATATATATATATATATATACATACATCTGTTGAGAGCTTTAGGGCTTCAGGAGTTCGCTACTGAGGGTTTTAGGATTCTGGGGTTTGGGGCTTGGGGGAGTTTAGGGCTTTTGTTTGGGAGTTGAGGGTTTTCGGGTTTAGGTTTTTGGGGTTTCGGGTTTTGGGGTTAAGGGTTATTTAAGGGTTTAGGGTTATTGAAAGGTTTAGGGTCATTAAAGGGTTTAGGCTTATTTAAGGGTTGCGGGTTTGATGTTTCAGGTGTGTGGGTATAGGCCTTGTTTGTTTCAGGAGCTTATGCTGCCGTGGAAGGTGTGTCTGACTGAAGCTTGGGGGATGGATCATGGCACGCGCTATCAAGGGCTCCTGGAAGCCTACTTTAAGGGTCCCCAAAACAACCTGAAAGGTGTGGGGCAGATGAATTTGAGATGTGCAATCACGGGAACTCTGGCCGTTGGCGTAGCCTATAGGGCCTATAAGACTACACAAGACTTAAACTCCAACCCTGAAGCACCAAAAGGCCAGAAACGGATTTAGACTTGCCGAAGCACCTGAATCCCGAACGCTAAGCCGTTGTCACGCCGTCGCGCATGCCAGTACCTCCAGATGTCCGTGAACGGGGTGAAGAAAGAGATGGCATCCCGGCAACATTGGTCTCAGGGCAACGCCTATTTTGGTCTTTTGAAACCCTATAAACAGCCTATAAGCCCTAAACCCTGCTGCGATCAGGGATCCTGTTCTTGGCTTTTGTGAGCTTGAGGGGTTTAGGGTTTAGGGTTTAGGGTTTCTTGTGTTTGGTGAATGCACCAGACGCAGCTCAACTTCTGGGTTCTCATCCGGCACCCTGGGCCCCAAGAGCCCAAATAAAGACAGGAACTAACCCTAAGCCCCCCAAGTCCCTACTATCTGGGGCCCTGGGGGCTCTAGTGCCCTATATAGTAGGTACCTGGGGACTTGGGGTAAGCTGAAGGAAGTTCCAGTACACAGTCGGCTGTGGTTTGCCTTTTGCGAGATAGACGCACTTGTGTGTGTGTGTGAGAGAACACATAGCTTTCTAGCAATGGCCACTGCCCCCAGATAAGCAGAAGAGCCACGGAACAGTGCCTCCACAAGCATTTCAGGAGAGGACAGCTCAAACATTGAATTGACTTTACCGCTTACGGTAGCAGTCTCTTGATAAGGAAGCGCTGGGCCCGAACTTTGTCTTCACTAGTCTCTCATACCTGCTGCTCCGAGCTCAAACCCGAAAACCTCATGATAAGGTCCTTCGGACGCACGGGGCTTTTGCTGCACACATCCCTTCAGCTCTGCATTCTGAGCCCATGGCAGGATTGTCAAAAAGAGCTGCTGCAGCGGATCAGCACGCAGGCGCAGCAGAGCCTGAAGACATCTCGTGTTGCTCCTATTTCTCCTATATCTATAGTCTCCCTATAGTCTCCATTGTAGTTCCATTTTGGGGATACCTTGTAAAATCCTTAGTATATAGTTGGTTAAACCAAAAAAGGAACTACAATGGACAATGGAGACTATGGGCTCAACTCAACTGCATAGCATAGATGGTCATGCCATGTGATGCTTGGGGCTTATAGACTCGGCTCGTATCACTGGTCGTGGTGGGGTAAATCCAGGCCATAACCATTCCCCAACTGGGCTCGAGGGTTCCATCTTGATATCCTACTATACCCAAAACCAGAGGTTTAGGGGTTTAAGGGCTTAGGGGTTTAGGGGTTGATATCATACTATACCCTAGACCCGGGGGTTTAGGGGTTTCAGGGCTTAGGGGTTTAGGGGTTGATCTCATACTTTACCCAAAACCCTGAGGTTTAGGGGTTTAAGGGCTTAGGGGTTTAGGGGTTGATATCATACTATACCCAAAACCCTGAGGTTTAGGGGTTTAAGGGCTTAGGGGTTTAGGGGTGGATATCATACTATACCCAAAACCCTGGGGTTTAGGGGTTTGAGGGCTTAGGGGTTTAGGGGTTGATATCATACTATACCCCAAACTCTGGGGTTTAGGGGTTTAAGGGCTTACGGGTTTAGGGGTTGATATCATACTATACCCAAAACCCTAAACCATGAACTCTGCAGCGTCGGCCCTATTCTGAGTATTAACTAGGTGGCAATTTGGGAAACTTTAAAATTTCCCTTATGGTTTCTATAGAGGTACCTATTCATAAATACTTTGCAAAGCCCCGAAACTACAACCCAGTCAAGGTCCCTAGATCGCCTGAGGGGTCTTCGGGCTGTGGGGCTTTTGGCTTCCCTGGAGGGTTTCGGGGTCTTACGGCTTAGGGCTTAGGGGGTTTGGGGGTTTCTGTAGGGGTTTGGGGTTTAGGGGTCTTGAGGTCTAGGGGATTCGGGGCTTGAGGGGTTTAAGGTTTAGGGTGCCTCTCTGAATGAGAGAGTTTTTATGACAGAAAGAAAGGGGTTTGGGAGGGTTCCCAGAAGGGTCCCTCCTAACAAGGTTCCGATAAGGGTTCTGCAAGGGTTCTTCGGTTTAGGGGAACATCCCCACCTGTGTATCAGACTGCCAAGGTGCGAAATAACCTCCCGGATCAAAATACATAAGCACGGGCTTAGGGTTCAGGGCCTACGGTATTGTCGGACCCTCTATACATTTATACATGAATGCTGCAGCCGCAGCCGGTCCGAAGTGCGAACCCGCCCAAAAACTTATGTTCATCTTTAACCCCAACAGCCTGATCCCCAAACAGAAAACTTCCAAGGCTGTACTGTAGGGGCCTAAATAATGACCAATACTATTTTGGGGGCTCCTTATTGTAAAAGGGGCCCAAAACCCTATTCTAACTATTAAGGCCCCTATATTATCCTGTACCGCAGAACCTGTTCCGACCACCAAGAAGCCTCAATCTTTACCCTGGACCGTAAATCCTAAACTGCCGCTGGCAAGGTGGGTTGTCTACCGCCGCCTGCTGAAGACATACCCATCCCGATCTTCTCGAAGGCCTGGGTCCTTTAGTGCTCTTATCAAGGATTATACGGTTTAGGGGTTTAGGGTTAAGGGGTTTAGGGCCGGTTTAGGGTTTAGGGCTTTACACTCAACCTCCAAGCGATCTTATCATGGTTCTAAACGTCCTTAAGTGTCATCGTGGCTTCGCCCAGGGGGATTTGAGTTTGTGTCTTCGGAGGATGAGGGCTTTGGGTTTCAAGGTAGAGGCCTGAAGAACTACCATCATTGCTCCTCTGCGGGCGGGGCTCTTGTCAAAGCGATAATATACCCCCGAACCTAGGCTTATTCTAATGATTGCGGCCCGACTATCAGCCCGACGCTCTCAACCTGACACCAGGGTTTACTTTTTATTTGGTGCGGGGCTAGCTTAGGAGGGAGTTGGATTTGATTTTGTTTTAAGGTTTGTGGTTTACAGGCTATCTTCAAGTGTTCAGAGCATAGTTTCAAACTGAGGTTTAGGGTGAAGGTTTCAGGGCTTACGAGGTGCACTAAGATGTCACTGACGAGCAGATCAGCCAAAAAATCTCCGCTGCTTCATCAGCCCTGGAATTTCCTAATCCTAGGATGTCCATGGGAAGCTTTAGGGTTCACGGTGCAGGGTTTTGGTTTTGTGGTTTTGGGTGTGTGGTGTTTGGGTCTTTTGGAGTCATGTCATTCAAGGCACTGCAAGAATCCTGCGAAAATTGCAGGGCCCTATGTAAACCGACGACTCAAGAGCAACAAGTAACAAGACCGACAACGGACTCTGACCTTTATCTCAGTAAACATGTTTCTTTCATTTTCTTTCTGTGGGTCAATCGAAACTCAAATGCTGAACTATTCCGAATATCGACCCCACAAGAACAGGCTCTGGTAGGCCAGCGGCTAGCGTTCATCTTAAGTTCTGTATTGCTTAAACTCGGCGACGGCATCCTCAAAGAAAGTCGGATCACAATATGGTCTTTGCCATGTAAATGTTGGACAACCGAAATGTAGATCTCGGATTAATAGACTCTTTTTGCTCGAGGAATTTCAGGGGAGCAAAAGACATGTGTTTACCAATCATGGGTTTACATGAATGACCAAGCCATTGCCCGTAAATTGTGTCACGCATTTCGAGGATTCTGCAAAAAGGGTTCCTCATAAGATTTCCCTTCAGGATTCTGTACAGATTCCTATATGGGCTCTTGGTTAAGGGTTTTGGGGTCCAGGTTTCGGGGTTCGGGGTTGTAGCTTTGATCAGGGTGCACAGCTCTAAGCGCTGAGCAGGAAAGCCTCAAATCTAAGCAAGTAACACGGAGCTCCACAACTCAAGCCCCCTAAAAACCAATAGAACCCGTCGTTAAAGCCCGCATACAATCTTTCTAAGCCCCTTATAGAAGACCGCATATAAGGATGCTCATGGAACCATAGTAGATGATAGCAAGCCCCCGCCCCCCGTAAGATCGTAAAAGATGGAAGGACAAGAACAGCAAACACAGCCGCATGCCTGGCCGGGAGCTTTGTTCATTAGGGTTTAGGAGTTTAGGGTTTAGGAGTTTAGGGTTTAGGGTTTAGGGTTTAGGTGGAGGGTTGGGTTTAGAGTTTAGGGTTTAGGGTTAAGGGTTTGGGGTTTAAGGTTGGGTTTAGGGTTTAGGGGTGGTTCAGAGTCGGGATTTTGGGATTGGGCTCTCTTCGTAGGCACCCAGTCTTTGCGTTCCTAGTAGCCAGCCTAACCCCCTCTGAACCTGCCTTTTCAAGGTTCCTTATTATGATTTCTTTGTATAATGAAGTCTTAAAAAAATGCAGGTTATTTGAGGTTGGGGTAAAAACCAGGCTCCTCACAAGTTGGGGGCTGGGTGCCTAAGTTTAAGCCCTAAATCCTAAACGCTAAGCCCCAAACCCGAAATCCTAAGCCCTAAGTCCTAAACCCTTAACCCTAGTGGGCGTTGATGAAGCAAGGTAAGGTGTACAGGGATCGAGATGCAGACTCCTCGGATCTTGGGGTTTGAGGAGTGTAATTAGGCCCTGTAAGCTTTAGGATGCTTTAGGCGTTTGGGGGTTGAGGGGTGAGCGGTTTAGGGGTTTGGGGGGCCTAGGGTGCTCTGCTTTCGGAGGTTGTGGAATAGGCTTCGGGAGCTAAGGATTCAGGGATTGGGAGCTAAGGATTCAGGTTTGGGGCTGCAGAGTGAACATTTCAGTGCAGCTTGCAGTTGTAGTCTTGTAGTTCAGAGTTTTGCAGGCAGTCTTCAGGCTCGTCGGGTTCATGAGCATGTGATTTCGGGTCAACGGCAAAAGCTTTGAGCTGAATCTGCGTTGAATGAAGCAGTGTACGGCACGGATTAGTTCTTGGGCCGTACTAGGCTTTTTTCATCCTGCACAATACTAGGCTTTTGCATCCTGCGCACACGTCCTGAGTACTCCTCCCCACTGCCTCCGGCTTAAGTACCCTCTTTCCCGATGTACCTTATCAGGGTGGCCCTAAACCTGCAACCCTAAACCCAAACCTAAATCAAAACCTTGCAGCTCGCCGTTGCGCCTAGGTAGTCCCCGAGATTACAACGCAGGCCGTCGGATTGCTGGGTAGTCTTCGAGGAGCATGGCAAACCTAAAGATATCATATTGAGGGTTATCATTGTTGCTTTAGTCAAGAGACTAAAGGAGGGACCCTTAAAGGGATCCTTGGGGTTATATGGGGGCTTTATGAGGCTATATAAGGGGTATCTAAGGGTTATATAGGGTATAAGGATTAGGGGTCCCTTCTAGGGGTCCCTCCTATTGTCCCTTAATTTAGGATTCGGTCTTTTGCGGGCTAGCTGCAGCCCCGAAGAGATGGATCTGCTGGATCGGGCGGTGCAGCTTGTAGTTTCTGGTTCCGGATTCAGTTGCAGGGTTCGGCTTCAGGTTTGGGCCTTCAAGTTTATCCCATATTCCTTGCTGCGATTTTCAAGTGGTGCCAGAGCACGAATCTGCAATGGCGCTGTAAGGTCCGCGAGCTACCTGAAACATCCCTCAGCCCAAAAACACTGGAGCCTTTGCTCTTACCCCCCGAGCCCAAGACCCAAACAAGGCTAATGAGCCCGACTTATACTCTCCACTGAACTTCCTTCTTTTGGTTACCTGATAGGATCCTTGGTCAAACCAAAAGAAGGAACTTGCGTCAGAACTACAATGGAAGATGTAGGTAGACCCGGAAATCTTCATCTGCTTGCCTTTCGCGATCGTGGCAGCTTCAGTGTTGGCTCAAACCCTCAGGGTCCGAAGTACTCGGGCTTTGTATGGGTTTTAAGAGCTCAAAGCGCCCAATAACTGGGTGTAGGATTTTATAGGAATGCAGGTGAGGATTGGAGGAGTATGCGCTTACTACGTACTTCGACCCTTAGGGCAGCATTTCGGGAAGCATCTGGTCTTGCTGGTCTGATGTGAGCATCGATCTTTTCGCGTTCCAAAACTGTTCTCAGAAGCTTTCGTTGCAATAGAAGCTTTCGTGATTCGTGATCGAATCGAGGCAAGAATCCAGAAGCACCGGGATAGAGGCCGAGGACGGTAACACGGTAACAAGGAGCAGTACCAGTGTTCGAACAGTATTATTACTGTCGCCTTGCTAAGAGATGTGATAAGACATATCAATCCAAGAGGGTCCGAAAGACCTAACAGTTATCCTGCAGACCTCTGCAGGACAGCTCGGGTGCACAGCCCTCAACACCAATATCGGTATAGCCCTAATCCCAAACCCGTGAAGCACCTTCTCGCGTCGCCTAGCATGCCGCGCCCTGAGTGTACAACGGATACTTGGTTGGGCTCTAAAGGGATATGCAGCAAGGGGTTTCGATAATTCAGGGACATACACAAAGGTGTACATTCATGATTTAGGTATACACACGTGTATGTGTGTGTATACATATTTAACGCACACACTGTAGACTGTAGCTAAGCCCTTTACGCAGAAGACAGTCCTGAACACCGGAAGTCCTTCTACTACGGCGCTTGTGTGTGTGTGTGTTCTCTTCGACTTTGTTCCTTTAGAAGATTTGCGATTGGTCACTAGATCTGGGGTTGGCTGAAATGGGTTCGCACCTGTAGAGACTTGTTGGGCCAACAGCCGTCCATAGGCGAGGTTGAGGACATGCGCCGTAATTATTCATTTCCGAGATCTGAAGCGACCATCCCGTCAGACCGAACTTACATACCCCATGGTGCGTGGTCGGCTGCGGCACTTGGGCTTGGCGTTTCAGTGGGATCGTGGCAAGTGTTCTCAGGGAGACCAAGAGCACTTCAAGTAGGCGATGTGATGTGCTCGAAGCCATACTTTGGATCCCTCCATACTAGCCGAACATCCCATACCCTACACTGACATACACCCCAAGGCCATAGATTTGGAAATAGCGTCTATAAATTTGAAAATAGCATCTTCCCTGGCACAGGGTTGCCGGGCTGCCGTTCTTGGCTCAAAGCCCTGAGCCAGTCAGCACCAAGCTTTTAGAAGCAATAAAGCCCCACCTGAACTCTACACGACCTGCGGTTTTAAAGATATATATACGGAGGTGAAGCCCTACATGAACCCTACATGACCAATCTTTTGAGGATTTTTGATTATTGTGTCCTTTTATCATACCCGAGAAAGTAGGTTATGTGGGCTGAAGTAAACCACGAGCTTCCAACTCCCGTCTTAAGCCCTGGACACACTGGACCCTACACCAGCCCCAAACCCAACAAGCCTTACTTCCGAAGCCCTACACACCCCTCTAAGCACGAAGCCCGAGACTTCCTAAACCCAGACTAAGTCAGCCGCAGTCCGACACCCAAAGCCTTGCTTCATCACATGTCGATTCCTGCAGCCGGACCCGACCAGATCACCCGACACCCATGAGCATTCTCGAACTAGCAATTACTTTCACTCTGGGACACTCGTACCGTTACAGTACTGAATCAACGAGCCGTCGCTCTTCATGAAGAACGGCTGTGAAGGGGGAAGCTTGTCCATATACTTACATAGTACGATGCCGCCTCCATCACCAGTCGAGCATGCACCTCGTTGGAGAGCAGCAGCAACCCCGAGGCTGCAAAGCCGAACCCACACAAATTCCTCTGAGCTAGGCCTAAAGTCCTGCCCTCAGCCGTGCAACCCTGAAGTACCCTAAACCCAACCTCAAAGCCCTATGAACCCTAAACCGCCCGAACCCTAAACAAAAAAAGCTCTAAACCCAAACCCTGGAGCAAGCCTTGTCCCCGGATTTCGAAACCCCAACGATGCCATGCGCACGATGATGATTGCAGAGTCCTCCCGCGACGTCCGCCCCTTGCGGGATGGTGTGCCGCAGGTGGGAGTATAGTAGGTATAGCCCTTGGGAGTTTCAGAAAATAAGGGGTACCTTATTAACCGAGTCCTTATAATAAGGATCCTACTATCTGGGGTACCATAATAAGGGTGCCCTACTTTCGCTGAAACCCCCATATAGGGGCCCCTTTAAGGCCAAAGGTATATGCAAAGAAGGTGCATGGAGCCGCAGGGTAGCCCAATTGACGGCAAAGGTCGGGTTATGGCTTCATGAGTTACCTATAGTCTCCATTGTAGTTCCTTTTTTTGGTTTAACCATGTATATATTAAGGATTTTGTAAGGTATCCCCCAAAAAAATAATACAATGGAGACTATAAGTAGACTCTGAGGCAGTCGTCTTCATAGGTCCCAAAGTCGAAGATCTGGGTACGCACTGTCCGGCCATGGCGCAAAACCCGGGAGCCCACCGATTGGTTTAGAGTTTAGGGGCCGATAAGGGTTTAAGGAGTATTACCCTAAGGGTCCATGTGCCCAAATGGTAGATACTTTGGCCTTAAAGTAGTCCCTATATAGGTACTTTGGGGCCAATGTATTTACTATATGAATACATGGACCCTTAGGGTTAGGGTGTTGTATCAAGTGTCATGAAGACCCCCAGCCCTGCTGTTCTAGGCGCTGTAGACCCTCAAAACTGCGAGCCAGGTTCGTCCGCTGCCGCCTTCTGCGCGCTTCGTGAAGCAGCCCCTTGCCGTAAAGCTAAGCGCTCATCTTTTAAGGCTTTTGGGCCGAAAGACCATACTATATCAGTTATATAATAAGGCTTTTGGGCTGAAATCAGCCTTAGGGTTAGAATGCAGTTCTTGCCTGCTTAGTGTTTAGGGGCTTAGTGCACCTCCGAGAACAAGTATGACTATGAGGAAGCTGTAGAATCGTAGAAGATCATAGGCTCAGGCCCCCAAACCGAATAGCTTAAGGTTTAGGGTTGTTTACCAAGGTCAAGGCCCAAGCGTTACAGTAAGTAGCCTGCAAACCCTAAGCCACAAAGAGCCCAAAGCACATCTATCTTAAAACCATACAGCAGCACTAAACTGCTTCTACCAAAGCCGAAGCCCTAAACCCTCCTCACCCCAAAACCCTAGCCATAGCAATCCGAAAGTCACCCTGATAGCAACCCTTACAGGACCCCTATATGCCCTAAGGCCAAGATATCCCAAGATCCAGCGTTCCTGGCCAGCCGGGAGCCCTAACCTGAAGAAGCAAAATGCACATAAACGTAAACTTGTCCAACCCACCCCGGTGTAGGGCTAATACCTTTAAAAGTTTGTGTTTATTTAGCGCCTGGGCTTCTACAACACGTTCCATAGACCCCTCCAGCAAAGTGCCTTGCCGACCGTAACAAACCCAGCCGAGGCACTTCTTTCGCTTCTTCATTGTATGCGTTCTTCTAGGCCGGAGGGCTCGCGTCATGTGTGGAGACTTTGGGTGGTGAACCTTCGGGTACTGGAGTTGAGGTTTGGGGTTGGCAGTCAGCACATGGCTCAAGTCTTACTGTAGGTTGGAGTCAAGCAGTCAAATTGCACTGGTACATTCAATATTGTTTTTGTAGCCGGCTATGCTGCTGTCTTACCCTAAGCCCTAACCCTCAACATAGCCCAAAAGGCACATATACTATGGTCTTTGGGCCCCAAAGCCTCCCGGTTTAGGGTTTAGGGTTTGGCTGCCCTCAAGGGAAACTCAAACGAGGCGCCAAACCCTAAACCCTGAATCTTAACGCCTCAACCCTCAGCCCTACACGCTAAACCTTGCATGACGTCCCTAAACCCTAAACCCTGCATAGCATCCCGAACCCCTAACCCCTAAACCTTGCATAACATCCCTAAACCCTAAACCTTGCATACCATCCCTAAACCCTAATCCCTGAATACCATCCCTAAACCCTAGACCTTGCATGGCATCCCTAAACCCTAAACCCTGCATAACATCTCCAAACCTTAAACCCTAAACCCTGCATAACATGCCTAAAACCTTAAAATTAGCATTACATCCCTCAAACCCTAAAATTTAGGATTTAGGGTTTAGGATTCAGGGTTTAGGGTTTTAGGGTTCAGGGTTTAGGATTTTAGGGTTTAGGGTTCAGGGTTCAGGGATTAGGGTTTAGGATTTTAGGGTTGAGGGTTCAAGGTTTTGGGTTTAGGGTTTTAGGGTTTAGGGGGTAGGGTTCAGGGTTCAGGGTTTAGGGTCTAGGATTTTAGGGTTTAGGGTTCAGGGTTTGGGTTTTAGGATTTGAGGGTTTAGGATTCAGGGTTTAGGGAAAAGGGTTTTAGGGTTTAGGGTTTAGGATTCAGGGTTTAGCGTTTCGGGTTTTGGGGGGATTTTGAGACTGCGGGGGGTTTAGGGCGTACAGTTCGCCATTTAGGGTTTTAGGCTTGGGGTGCAGGGGTTCGGGGTCGAGAGTTCCGGACCAAAAGTTTAGGACTAGGATTTAGGTTTCGAGTCTAATTACTGTTGAGTGGACAGCTTAATATATTGGGAGTTTTGGAGTTTTTTTCAGGGTAGTGAATGATGCAGAAGAATCATGAAGACGGGCAAAGTCCATCCATACACGTATGGGGACCTTCATCTCTCAACTCAAACCCTAAAAGACCTAGATTTGCTAAACCCCAGGGGGACACTTCGATGGCCGCTTGGGCTAGGGAACCCAGTACTCCAGCCAAGGTCCGATTCCCCAGAACCAGCCCAACCATTTCGCGAAGAAGCCTGCCACCACCTATCCACAAAGCTCAATTGAGGTGCCCTGCCTCAAACCCGAAGTCTTGAGATATAGACCGTAAACTCCTTAGAGATAACCCCTAAGCCCTAAGCCGTAACGTCCTGAACCGTGAGCTCTTGAAGTTTTGGCCGTGTGTTTGAGGCCCCGCTCTGTTTCTGGCACTGGACCTCGCAGTGGCGCCGCCGAAGTGCCATTTCTGGCAGTTTATCGGGGGCCTCAAAAGCTGGGATGACTTTTTGAGACTGCCCCACCTCCTCTCATTCTACCCTTGAACCACTTTTGAGTGTCAAGGTGACCAAGACGCCTTCCGGGCCCTAAGCCCGAACTTTAAGCCCCTAGAGCCCATGAGCCCTAACCCTAAGCCCTAAGCCCTAAGCCTCAACTTTAAACCCCTAGAGCCCAAAGGCCAAAACCCTGAACCCTAAACCCCTAAACCCTAAACCCCTAGAGCCCATGAGCCCTCAACCCTAAACCCTAAACACTAAGCCCAAACTTTAGACCCTTAGAGCCTGAGCCCTAAACCCTAAACCCTAAGCCCAAACTTAAAACCCGTGGAGCCCATGAGCACTAAACCCCCAATGTTCAGGCTTGGGCTTCAGTGCTCTGGGAATCGGATCCACGAAACAGGGTTTAGGGTTTAGGGTTTAGGGTTTAGGATCGGATATCATACGGTTGACCATATAAACCCTTCATGACCCATAATATGCAGTATACCATAATTCCCATAGTTTAGGGTCCTTAAGGTAATGCAGGATTTGTCTCATCAACAGTAGGACTTCGAGTTCAGACTTTGAATGTCCACCCAGTCTCGAGAACTGACGCACGCTTGCACCTGAACCGCGTCCCGCCCTCCCCTCAGACCGCAGCGAAATACCGTAGCCAAAACTCCCGAATGTTTAGGGTTTAGGGTTGGGTTTAGGGTCTAGGGTTTAGGGTTTAGGGTGTAATATGTTCCGAGCTGCACTCAGGAGCCCGCCAGAGTGGAGACGATGGCTGGAGAAGCTCAAGTGGCCTGACTTGCGACGCTTCAGGCTTTGATGAAGGGCTTTCGGGTTTAGGGTTTAGGGTTTATGGGTCTAAGTGACCTGATGCAAACAGGGGTGTTGCAAATCACGCTCACTTTCCAACCCCAAGTCTCTTTTAATCCACTATTCGATCAAAAAGACTCTCTAAGGCAACCTTTGCTTACAACGGACCCACCCACCCCCACCTCCCCAGAGGCCTTGCTGCGGTTCCGGATAGTTTCATGGCCGTTGGTGGCTGGCATATCGACGCTTTGCGAGTCTTACCGGATTCCGGTAGCTCATTCCCAAAGCCCGAAACGGTAAACCCCGGGCCCTGAACCCTTAAACTCCTAAGCCCAAACCCCTAGTATGTTTGGGATTTGTTAGCTCGGTCCGGGTGCTTCGTGTTTCAGGGTGTTGGATGGATCATCATCGCACGATTCTGCTGCTTAAGATGAGTGCAGTCGATCAACCGCCACTCGCAGACTTATCGAATTGCCCCACGCGTCTAAGCCTTGCCCTGATGACGCCCCTCCAACATCCGTCACCCTGGACCTGGCACATGGTGCATGAGGTGCACCTAAGACCCAGACCGAAATATTGGGTCAGACTCCGGTATCCCCGAGCTGCATGTGTACCACACCATACCACCCCGAGAATTCAACCCTAAACCCTAAACCCTAAAACCCTAACACCCTAAACCCTAAAACCCTAAAAACCTAAACCCTAAACCCTAAAACCCTAAAACCCTAAACCCTAAACCCAGGTATGCCTCCATTCCGGTGGTTTCCGTCTGCTTCACCTGGTGGCACGTCTGGCTGGGCATTCAGATGTGCTCTTCATCTGCAATGGGGTTGTAGCTGCTAGCATGCTCAAGAAGTGCAAGGTGCTGTTATGGAGAATAGATTCCCAAAACTTAAAATAAGGGTTCCCAATATAGAAACCCTATATACATTCTACTGTATAGATACTTTGGGGACGCTGACCAAAGGCACGATCTGAAGCTTTCGGTCGTTGCAGTTTTCCGGCCTGATCTTCAATTTTACCCCCATGTGCTAAAGCCCTCCAGCCATAGCAGAGAAACCCAAGCACCCTAAACCCCGGTTCGCCGTCGGAAAAGAGCCCCTAAGAAAGCAATTGGTTGATTAATCGAGTAATAAATATATGCAAGTATGTTAAATACAGATGCTATGTGTATATTAATACACAGGGAAGCATCTCACAAAATATTTTATTTAAACCCTAAACCCGAAACACGAATTCGTAAAGAGAGCGGAAGCACAGGTTGGTATCCCATCGAATTCTGGGGACGTCCCCCCTGCCTTGGCTGGCAGGGGATCGTGCCCCGAAGGGCGCGGATCATGGCCGAGAGGTGCTCCAGGGATTACAAAAGGGGCCTAAAGAATTTCCTATGCTATGTTGGGGGGGGGGGTCCTTCTTATAGTTAGAGTAGTATAATATATCCCAAAGCCCTATTCTAATCAACCAAGGTGTTTAGGGTTTAGGTACCAGGGGTGTAGGGCTTAAAGTGCTGGATATGCAACTTGGGCCCGGCTCGAATTCCTCGCGTCGTCCTTCCTGGTGCCTCGCACCCTGCAGATCATGCGACCTGATGATTGGCAACTTAGTCACCATCGAGGAGCTGGTTGACCGTGCCTTGTCAGCATCAATCCTGAAACTTGAAGCACATTAATGGTTTATTCCTTTAGTTCCTGAGCCCTGAAGTCTTCACGCCCTTTACGTGGACTTTGCCATGTCTCCACAGGGGAGGCCGCATTAAAACCCTAAGCGACCCTCAACCCGATACTTCAAACCCGGAGTGACAGCACTAAACCTACAGCAGAAACCTCATACCCTAACCGCCCAACCTCCAAACCCCAGCCCGAACTTGTAGTTCCAATTTCAGGTTGTTGCGTCTGTAGTCGGGGTTGCTATACGAGTTGCTACGGGGCTACGGTTCAGGGCTTTAGGTGGCAGCCACTAGGCCTGATACCCTTAAACTCTTAACTCTCAACCTTAGCCCCTGCACCGTAAACCTTACACAACCATAACACCTAAACCCTATCCCCAGACAACCCAAACCCATGAACCCTCTAAACCCGAAGCAGCTCAAAGCACAAGCCCCTAAACCCTCAGTACCCGAAGCCCTAAACCCGAAACCCTAAACAGCCCTACTTGGAGGCCCAAGGGACTTAGTAAGTAGGTTATAAGTAGAGTTATAAGTACCCTAACTGCAGTTATCCCAATTATAACCCTACTTATAACCGACTTACTAAGTCCCCTGGGCCTCCAAGTAAAGCCAAGCCCTAAGCCGAACCCCAAGCCAGATCCCAAGGTATCCACCCCGAAGACTTCTTTGGACAGCTTGGCCCAACCCTAGGCCTGGTACGGCGGGAGCAATAAAAGGGGTGTAGGGTTTAGGTCTGGGGTTTGGGGTTTGGGGTTGGGGTTTGGGGTTTAGGGTTTCGGGTTTGGGGTTTAGGGTTTCGGGTTTAGGGTTTCTAAAGGTTTTTAGGGTGTGTTTTTGTAGGGTGGGGGTTTATTGGGCAGCTTTACAGATTTTATCGGGCTTTATAGGCCTTGCAGGACGTTATACTAGGGTCTACCCATAGTCTCCATTGTAGTTCCTTGATTGGGTAAGCCACTGTTATGGTTAGGCTCTTTTGATACAATGACAAGAATAAGAACTACAATAATTAGAGACTGTAGGTACACGTGCCGAAAGCCATACACCCGGGAAAGCCCGAACCCCCCTGGACTCTAAACCGAAAAGCCCACACGAGCACCGCCGCCAACATTTCGGGGTTTTCATATTTGGCTGCGCTGTTAAGCCGGCAGGGACGTGCAGCACAGCGGTGCTGAAGCGTCTGGCCGAAAAGCACTGCCCACAGGCCCGGCAGGGGGTTTAGGGCATCGGGGTTTAGGTTTCAAGGCTAGTGGGGTATGTGGGATGTTTGCTGCTTGGGTATTACGTGTTTGGTGTCAAGCTGAAGCTCAATACAGCATAACTGCACGAACATCGCAGAACGAGCTCCGGAATGCAATTCAAAATTTTGCGGGCAGTAGCTTCAGACACGAAAGACCCCAAACCCCCTACGCCCCAAAATCCTAAACCCAAGCCCCCATAATCCCGACCCCTAAACACTAAAGCCCAAAAAACCCCCAAAACCCTAATCTTCCAAAAAAGATCCTGAACCCTGAACCCGCCAAAAAGGTCCTGAATCCGGAACCCCCAAAAAAGATCCTGAACCCTATACCCCCCAGAACGGTCCTGAATCCTAAACCCCCAAAAAAGATCAAGAACCCTAAGCCCCCCTCCCCCCCACAAAAAAAAATGGTCCAGAATCCTGCGCCTTTTTTCCCTCAGGTCTGGGCCCAGCTTCCGGACTCGGTCCGGCAGGACCCTCTTCCGGGGATGAGTTTTTGTAAAAAAACGAAGCTTGATTCAGTAAGGATTGGAGTTTAGAGGTTTGGAGGCTTCAAAAAGGCTTATAGAGGCTGAAAGTTTCGAGGCCTGTGGTGTTTAAACTTTGTGTTTTGGTTGGGTTGGTTTCTCGAATGCAGGGGAGGGGTTAGATTGCGGTGCTTCTTCCTCCATGATTGCAGTCACAAAAACAGGTGCACTATCTCCCCTACACCGAAGCCCCAAGCACGTCTTCGGATTATGGCTTGGGGGCGTGGAAGGAGCTGAACGCCAAGGTCATGGAACAGAGTGTGTCGCTTGGCTGCCCATCGAAGTTGCCGGGGCCGTTTTCGGATGATATGAGAGAGTCAAGGCTTTGGTTCATTAGGGTGTAATATAGGGACCTTGCTAATTACCTATCCTTTTTTTTTGGGGGGGTTCCGTATTATAGCTATAGTACAAAGGACCCTATTCTATTTAGTAAGGCCCCTATATGAGGCTTTGTGGGTTTAGGGTTTGGACGTTCCCGTGCTTTTGAGCCCAACTATATACACCACCTCGAGCCTTTTGATCTTGTGTCTAGGCGTCTGTCGAAGTCTTGCACCGGGACTGAGCTCCCAACCTTGCCCCTGGCCTGGATGATACACCCTGAAAGCCTGGCACCACAGCAATCGAAAGCCGACGGCCGGTATATTCAAAATTAAAAAGCCATGAGTCAATCAAGCCTTAAATCTAGAAAAGAGCACAGGGATCAAACAACAATGAACGTAACACATTCTGAAACCCACACGCCCCAAAGTCTAAAGCCCGAATCATCTAATCCCCCACAACCCCCAAACGTTACAGATAAACCGCATAAAACTCAAGCCCTAGGCTGCCCGAAGCTTGTTCCTATCAGGCTCATGTTCCGGCCAGTGATTGAAGACCTGAAGCAGAATGTGCAGCTCGTCTGTGTTTCGGGGCACGGCACGTTGGCTAAAAGATTTCTAGCGCCGGGCTTAGACTTTGCAGAGCTTCCATGTCGGTTGGTATTATAAACCCCTATAAACCTTAAACCATCCTAAACCCTCCTCAATGGCGGATGAACGCTGTGCTGCATCACTGGGCTTCTCGCTACAGAGTAGCAAGAGTCTCGGGCAGTACTGCGTGGCGGAGCCTTAGATGTGGTGTGTTTTGGGTTGTGAGTTCCGTTTGGGACGCTAAGGACCAAAATCTTCGACATCAAGCCGCTTTCCTGCACGGAGAAGAGCTTTGGAATGTTACAGAAAGACATCCGAAGTCCACAGCTGAACCCCTAAACCCTAAACCCCAAACCCCTAAACCCTATAAACCCCTAAACCCCTAAACGCTTCAAAGCTCTGGCTCAAGCTCTGAAGCCGAACGCATCCCTGGCCTTTCTTACGCCCCCCGGAGACGAAAAAGTCTGCACGACATGCGTAGTACGGATCCCTGATTTGCCGGTAAAACCTCGCCTTTTAGGAGCCTTGTTACGGGGGGATCCTTATGATGGTCCCCATTCGATTTCTTGTAAGGGGAGCGTATAAACAAGCGCCAAACCCTAAACTGCTGTCATCAATCTATATATAAACCCTAAGCCCTACTAAGGGAGGTGGGTATTAAGCGGGGATAAATGCGCTGCCCTGTGAGGCAGATGGCCGTGGAAGCGCTCATCGAAGACAAGGCGCTTCTTGTCTCCATGTTCCAGGACTCAGGGCTTTAGGGTTTATTAGGGTTTAGGGTTTAGGGTTTAGGGTTCAGGGTTCAGGGTTCAGGGTTTAGGGTTTAGGGTTCAGGGTTTGGGGTTAGGGTCTTAAGTTATTAAGGGTTCGGGCTGTAGGGGCTTGGTTCAGGAATTACGTGGACCTCAGAGTTCGACTGTTCCCTTTTTTGAGGGTTCCTTAAGATGATTCCCTATTGCAAGTCCTTGACAAGGTTAGTTTATTGGGGGGTTAGGGGCACCCCTAACCCCCATTAACAAGGTTAGGTTATTGGGGGGTTAGGGGCACCCCTAACCCCCATTGACAAGGTTAGGTTATTGGGGGGTTAGGGGCACCCCTACCGCCGCCACTCTCTCCTCCTCGTCTTCCCTTTGTAGGTTAGTTACCTTTACCCTCGTTGGTCGCTGGCAGGACATCTCGCAGAAGGAGTTCACCTTTGTGCTTCCGGGCTTACCTTCAGCCATACCGGAAACACCCAAAACCTACATATCTAACATCCTAAACCCCAAACCCCTAAACCCCTAAACCCCTAAACCCTGAACCCTGAACCCCTAAACCCTAAATCCTAAACCCTAAACCCCTAAACCCTAAACCCCAAACACCATGTAAGGAGCTTACGGCAGGAATCCTCGAACTGCAGGTTCCCATGGTCCAGGTGAGTTCTGAGAAGAGTTTAAATTCAAGGTCTTCGAGGATGAGGGCGACCTAATGGAGGTGCCGTGTTTCATATAGGGGCCTCAATAATTACCAATACTATTTGGGGGGTTCATTACTATATTTCGATATTCATAACATAATATATCCCGAAACCCTATTCTAATGTTTCAGGCTCGCAGGTTCAACCTGCAAAGATTGAAACTGTTCGTGTCTGACCCCCCCCTCTCCAGAAAAGCTCCTTCCTTTTAGGCACCTTGTGGGACCAAGCTCATGCTATACTTTTGGAATTTTGGATGCAGGGCTTGATGGAAGCAGCCATTGATTAATGTGGGATAAATATCCGACATGAACCACAAACTTCGGAAACCTTAAGTAGAACGACGCACCAGCTGCAGATCGAAACTTTCTGACTCTTCCCAGGCTACGTGTTGCAGCTGTGATGGGCTTCATTCTTGGTCTTGTGCAGATGGGCGTGTGGAGTGTCGTGGCTAATTACAGATCAGGGCATACAGTGGCAAGTTTCTGTTTGAGCGTTTCAGTGCACAGTTGTGTTTTCGACATGGCTCTCCTAGATGTTGGAGTCCAATACTAGGTTTCGAACCACCGTCTGGTGCGGTTTCGTTCGGGGTCTCGGAATATCATAGAAGCTCACGGGCTTTTTGGGGTATTCTGGTACTCCAAGACTCCACGACGAATTTGGAATGGTTCAAGGTTGGGATTTTTTGTGAAACCGTGCTCTTCGTGAGTATGCACTGGCACACTGGCAACCGGCCTCCCGCCGGCCGGCACTGTTTACAGTTGCAACACGATATGCACCTTTCTCGGACATACTTCCAACGAGGAATTTTGCCTAAAACGGCGGATTTGGCGGCACTTATGGGCGGGCTCCCCGCGAGACATGGACCTTGAGTTGTAAAGGCGACTGCCAATTGGAGTCGTGCTGTCACTGTTGCTTTGAGGGAGGCTCTGGCGAGTGACATTCGCCGGTTGCCGTTCACAGTTCTGACTGCCAACCGTCTTCGGGGCACCTTCTTCAGAACCTGCTTGAAGTCAGAACGGCCCGAAGGGGAACTTCATCATCTAGACACCCCCACGGTCTGTTACCATAATAGAACTACGCCGGCATGCAACATATGCATTCAAAGCCATAGCAGCTTGACTTTTAAAGTCTCTAAATCCTAAACCGAAAGATCCGGTATCCGAACTCCCGAGGATACATCCATGTTTGGTGGAGCCTCCCCGTCACTGGGCTTGTCATCGGCTACTTTACCAACTGGCTGGCCATCACGATGCCCCTGCGGCTGAGAATTATGCCAGAAGGGAATTCGAAGGTCATTTGCCCAGTGCTAAGCCGTGTAGTTGGAATTATAGAGTTATGAATCTATGAACCCCAGCTACTGGGTACATGGACTCAAACCGTACCGGGGCTTATAGACTTATAAAGTTCACTACACCACTTTAGGTGGTCAGGCTCTTAACATACTACAGGGGCCTAAATAATTACCAATACTATTTTGGGCGATCCTTATTATAGATATCGCATAATAGACCTCCAAAACACCCCAAAACCCAATTTCAAGTATTAAGGCACCGAAATTACACGAAAGCGTTGACCTTATCCTCGCACAGCCTTGCCCGGGCCCTTGATCCACTACACCGTATGAGCCTGGCATTCTTCATACTCTTCAGCCCAGCCCCAAGCCCTGAGGCCGCGATATACCCCAAACCACCGTTCCCTCAAACCGTCAACAGCTTCTTTTTTTCAAGGCTCCGTATCCGAACCGCACAGTCGAAAACCCGAAAACAGAGAATGCAAGACGAAAAGCAGGATCTTCCGGCCAGTGCAGCCGCACATCGTTTGCTGCGGTTATGTGAACTGCCAGGGGGTGTTCCTCAAGCGACAGCAGGAGGCCCCAGGGCTTTGGGTTTACGGGATTTTGAGTTAGAAACTGTGTGTATTCTGGGTCTAGGTAGAAGCAAACTTGATGATACAAGTTGCAATGGCTCCATGCCAGTGATTCAAGGTCGTCGTCGTCCTCATCAGCAGCAGATAAGGGTATATGGCGAGTACAGATATCAACAAAGCAGAGTTAAATTGCCTATTCCGTCGTAGGGAGGGGGGGGGGGGGGGGGGG